TGTGCCCAGCCCTGGCTCCAGACAGCCAGCTCCTGTAATCATCCTGGGAAAGCTTGTGATCCTTTTTCTTATTGTACTGAAAGCTTTAAACATCTCTTCTTTGTGAACTTTCCTGGAAGGCAGTTGTTTCCATGGGCCATCCTCTAACCAGGTTCATTATCAGTTTAGAAACTCCTATGCAGATAGAATGTTGTAGACTTGTCGTTACTGTGAACTTTAGTCAAAATTCATCAAACTGTATAAAATAGAACTAAAGTAGTTATTCAGGTATTATTTATAATGCTGTGGGTGGAACTTGAAAGCACTGGAAAAAAGACTTTATTTTATTTTAAAAAAATCTCTCTGAAGGGAAGTATGTCATAGCTTGCTCTAGACTGAACTTCTCTGGGCTGTGTGCTGGTGGTCCTATTTCTGTGTGTGCCCCGAAGTTTCTATTTGTTCTCATCTCTGGTTCTGTGAATCTCAGTTTTTTATATTTCTTTGTGTTGTCACATTGATACTTTTGTGAGCTCCTGACCGGTGGGTGTTCTAGATCTTGCAGGGCATTTTAAAAGTTTCTCTTTCTTTCAGTGCTTGCAGTTACATTTCCTGGTAGACTTTACTTTTCAACTTAATTGAAATAAGACGCTTTCTGATTCTCATATTGTAGTAACTGCCTTTTTATCTCCCACTTCCACTAAGCAAGTTGGTGATCTTCACCTCTGGCTGCACATAGTATTCACCAGGGGAGTTTTAAAAATGGTACTGGTACCCATGCCCCCCAAGAGATCCTGATTCACAGGCTCTGGAGCAGGAGGTCTGAGCATCAGTATTTTTTAAAAGTACCCCACTCCCACACCCGACGCCACGTTTAAAATGTGCAGGCAGTATTGTAACGTGGTTTCTGGTGGCTGTACCACTCAATCAGTTATTTTAGACTGCTGAAATAAAAATGAGACGTCGCTCTGGTAAGAGGCTTGTTGTCAGTTTGGCTTAAGGACCGCTAGAGAATAAAAGAGAAGGCAACTGGGCACTTTGTCTTCACTTGTCCGGCAGATGATTGGGGCTCGTGTGGGCTGCCGTCTTCTGTTTTCCTGTGCTTGCTCTGGGCTGTTTTTCAGCTTCCCTGACACACTGTGCGGCAGCTACATGGTAAAGTGCCCCCAGAATTGGGGAGAAGGCAATCCTCTGAAAGTAAGCCCTGTAAAAATAAGAAAGATGTAGGAGATTGGTCACCTGTAAAAGTGACCAATAGGCCCTTGGAGACAGTTTGTAAATGTTGCTGATGAAGAGACCCAGGACATGGGAGTCCTGGGGTGGGGAGTTTATCCTTAGGTTTGGGCAGAATCTAATTCACGATTTATTTAACAAACACTTATATGGGGTTTAGTACCTGCCAGGCACAGTTCTAGTCAGTTTCCCTGTATAAATTTATTCTGATTTCACAACCATCCTTTGGTAGGTACTATCCACATTTTGGTGATGGGAAACCTGGGCAGAGTTAAGTAACTTGCCCAAGGTCACACTGGAGCTTTGAATGCAGGTAGTCCATTTTTAGAGTCAGGCTCTTTACAGGTGGTTAGACCACAGATTGTCTGGTACCTGGGGACATTGTCTTGGCTCTGGGCTCCACCATACCTGCTTCTGTGGGCCACTTCCTGTGCCTCAGTTTCTCCTGTATTGGTTAATGGGTAGAAAACAGGTTATATGATTTGAACAGCAACTTTTATTTACTCTCTTTTCAAGCTAGCATTTGGGATTCTTCAGTTCCTACTTCCTTTAGTTATTATGATTTCTCTTTGGGTTTTATTATTACTTGTTTTGTTTTTTAAAGGCAAATCAGACGTTTTTATCTGGAGAAGAAAACTGTTTTAGGCCTAGGCATGAACACAGCTGCCTTTTTGTCCTCAGTGAACTATATAACAGACTTGGAAAAACTTCTCTCAGGATAACTGGAATGCCACTCTATTTTCCCTTAGTCACTCTCTTGTGAAATCTAGTGGTCAGGCGCTGATAACATTTTTAGCTGTTGGAGAACCTCAAGGTGCCTGGATCACGACACGTGCGATTAGCGTCTGAAAGAAAAGTCCTAGCTCAGTGATAAGGACGGAGAAGCATTTCTTTCTTTCTTTGCTTTTTAACTAATGCCTGCTATTGCCAGTTTTTAAAGATGTCTTGATCATCTTCTCCCATGATGGTCCACAAAAAGTCTGAAGAAGACTGTTTGGTTTCTGGCTGTTGGTGTACAGTGTAATTTGACATGAGACTTAAAATTAAATTATCAGGCTTAGGACTGACCTGCTATCAGTATGCTAAAGGGAGAAATTTTGTTCTGCAGATGATGAATTCCAGACTACATGTCGCTTGTCCGCAGGCTGGCCCTTCCCAGCAGAGGGCGGTGAGCCTGGTGGTTGTAAACTGGCCCGTCATTTTGACCTTCAGGATCACTGTAGGGCAGGTCACAAACCTCCAACTCCTGCCAGACCTATCCCCTGTTCCTCTCTCCATCTCGCCTCCCCCATCAGATGGTTTGAGGAAGCATGTGAGGTTTTGTTGGAGAAGCAGAAAGCCCTGGCTTTGGGTCTGGCTCTGGGCAAGGGAGAAGACAGCTGTCAGGTCCTTGTCCCAGCATGCGGATGTCTTTCTCAGCAGGATGCTCCCTCCAGGGCTGGCCACTGGGGCCACCACCCTGCCCTCTAATGAGGCAGTGCCACCTGGCCTGTGTCAGAATGTGTCCATTTCACATTGATTGGGGTGGAACTTGTTTGTGTTTCTTGGCCATTTGGCTGAAAACAGTGGTTTATTGGTAAAGGATACTATGTTTTATATAAATATGTGTGTGTGTGTGTGTCCTGCCTTCAATCCATGCTCTAAAGGCCCATCCAAAGACCAAATGTTCTTCGTTTCTTTTGTGTCAAGGATCCCTTTGTACTCAAGTGGTTTGAGCCCATGACCCTTTCTTCGAATACTATATTTAAATGCATGCAATAATATACAGAGTTTTATCAGGAAACTGGCCTTCCTTTACAAAGGGCAGGTCTAATAGCTGTTGTGATTTTGAAGTGGTGATGCCCACAAACACTTGAAGATACGGCGACAACTGTAATGCGAAATTGAAAGCCTTTGTTATTTCTATCGGTGACAAAGACAGGCAGCGCCCCTTAACATCACTTCTGGTTTGTTGCCAATATGTATAATGGGAGGAAATGCCAAATTTCAGCTAGAGGATGTTGAGAGTAAATGTTACGTTCTTTCCCCTTTCGGGGCCTCAGATCTCCTGGGTTCTGTTCTGTTCTCACTGTAGTCAACCGCAGGGCCCTATAGCCCAAACTGAGAACACAGGCAGTCACAGGATTTCGTTAGAAACAGATCCAGATTCCAGTTAAGGAGAGAAACTATTGAAGATGTCCTAGAACATAGTTAACTCTGCAAAGGACCGTGTGAGTGTAGGTAAGCAAGCTGAGGAGAACTGTGGATTCCGAGGGCCTATCCCAGCCTCCTCCTGGGAGCAGGACGCGCCCAGAGCGCCTGGGTCCAGGCTGGTTTCTCCTCCCGATATTGAGGGCTGTGGAGTCGGATGGCAGCAGCAAGAAGGCTGATTAATCCTGGGGCCTGAAATGGCTTCGGGAGGAGGCCCCATTTTGAATTTATCAATCGCCCTTCATGGAGCCAGTGAGCCATCTTCCCACACAGTGAACAAGAGAAGGGGAACTGAAGGGTCTGTGTGTGAAAACCTAGGAACACTAACACTGGTCAAACTTGGCCTCCGGAGACCAACCCCAATGCAAGGGAGCCACTAGGCTTGCTGCTTACCTGGGATCTGCTATATCTTTTAGCAGGTTTTCTAAGGATTTAACATGGGGGGAATAAACGTGTTCAGGAGTGATGAAATTCCTGTTCTTTGTGAGTTTCACACATCAAGGTGATTCCTCCCTCCCTCTTCCCTTCCTCCCTCCGCTCCTTTTCCTCCTCCTTCTCCTGCTTCTGCAGTTCAGAGTCAAGTGAGGAGTCACGATGCCAGAATGCCAGGTGCAGGGTGTAAATGAAGCCTTGACATGAATGAAGCTCCTACTATCTTGCAAATCAGACTAAATTGTTACAAAATAATTCAAGAAATCTCAAGAAATCTCATGTAAGAGAAAAACTGTGGGTTTTTTTTTTTTTAAACATATGGAGGGGATAATTTGTGGCTTCACTTAACACATTTATATTCAATACATTTATTGGCACCACATACATAGGGGCAAGTAAAACCGTGCAGTCCAGCCATCCCTGCCGGTAGAGACATATATGAATTGTACAATCAAGATGTCAACTTGCAGTTGTGTGAAATACATGAGCCAGAGCTCAGAGGGAGTGCGAGGGCAGGAGGTGTGTGAGAGATGAGACTGACAAGAGACTTAAAAGTCATGTGGAAGGTGGTCAGGGACCTTGGGGAAGTGACAAGTGGTCAAGTGGATTGACCAGTGGCCCAACACCCCAGGCAGCTGAATAGGAGCCTGGGCCTCAGAGCAGGACCTGGGTCACCAGGGAGAAGTATACACGCATGTGAAGGCAGACTTGTTTGGTGCCATGTCAGAATAACTGCGATCCAGCGATGTGGTACAGACTGTCATCAAGAATCAAGACCCCTAGTGTGAGCATTTTATTTAAATATCTTCTTTTAAAAATGCAAAAATAGGAATAAGCCATCCAATTTTTAATTAGAGGGAAAGTAGGGAATTGGTGTCTTTTTGGTCTCGTGGGTTAACTCCGGTGGGTGACTAGGTTGTATAGGAGCTGCTTGCTGTGAGGTGGGCCTGCAGTTCCCCCAGAGGAGGAGGGCACTGCACTTAGATCCCATGGGGCCTGAGCCAATCACTTTTTCTTTCTGCACATCAGTGTCTTGATCCAGTCCCGCTCCAGTCATACCTACGTTTGGGGGTTACAGTTCCATAGTCCCTCCCTGGGTGTTCCCGTGGTCAGGGGGCGCATCTGAGAGGAGAGATAACTTGTATCTTTCTTTCCTTCTCCCTTGCCAGGGCGGGAGCAGTTCCACGGCCTGGGCTCCATGTACTGCCGGGGGGCGACCGCCATCATCCTTACCTATGACGTGAACCTCCCTCAGAGCCTGGTGGAGCTGGAAGACAGGTTCCTTGGCCTGACGGACACGGCCAGCACTGACTGCCTTTTTGCCATTGTGGGAAACAAGGTGGACCTCAGAGAGAAGGGGGCTGTGGAGAGCCAGGAGAAGGAAGGGTGCAGCCCTGTGCTGCCGGGAGGTGGCAGTGCATCACCCAAGGTGCCCAAGCAGGTGCAGCCGGAGGACGCAGTGGCACTTTATAAAAAGATCTTGAAGTATAAGATGCTGGATGAGAAGGACATGCCGGCCGCTGAGCAGATGTGCTTCGAGACCAGTGCTAAATCCGGGCATAACGTGGACCTGCTGTTTGAAACCTTGTTCGACATGGTGGTGCCCATGATCTTGAGGCAGAGGGCCCAGGGGCCGCCACAGACTGTGGATATCTCCAATTATAAGCCGCCCAAACGGACCAAATCTGGATGCTGTGCCTGACTGGCAGAGGCCCCTCCGACCACCCACTTTACATGATTGGCAAGGTGTGTGACCAAACAAGCTGTGGTCAGAAGGAGCATAGAAAGTCAAGGAGTGCCTTTGTAGAACTGCACGTGGAGGAGAAGATTCAAGTGCAAATGACAGCTAGTCATTAAGAGAAGGTCGGTGTGGATCGTCGCCTCTGTGGGGAGCAAACAAATCATCTACAGAAACCACTCGGTGAAGCCAGGGTTTCTGGAGGCCGTTGCCCCTTGCTGCTCCTTTCCTGACAACCCAGCCTCGGACAGAAGGTTGCCTGGGCGTATGAGGTGTGTGCACCTCTCTGCACCTGTATGACTTTCATGTTTGCTCTTCTCAGACGTTTCTCTTCACTGTGATTTATCTTTGGTCCTATCATTTGGTACTTGCATATTGATGCATCATAATGATTCTCGACGTGTTAATTTATACAAAATCAGGAATCGCTGTTTTTATATTGGTTGTAGCAGTGTGAACGATGCATGTTATTAAAAAGAATTTTGAGAACTTAGTTGTGGAGACTGCATTGACTTAGACTTTACGTGTGCCTCTGGTGGGCTCCTTTCTGGGAGCCGTTGGGAGATGGCTGTGAGCTGAAGGTACTTCTAGCTTTTAAAGCTGTATTGAATCCTTACAAATTCCAGAATACTTAGATTGGCCCATCTGCCTAATTGTCTTAATGACATGAGTTCCAATAATATAAGCAAAACTGAAAGTTCTCTTTCTGCTAAGTTCTGCTTCAGTCACCCAGGCAGTTACTGAATCATAACCCCGTTTTCGGCTGGTTGGTGGGTGCACTGCTTTGTATTATGCAAAATGAGAGAGCTATGAGACAATAGGTTTTGTTTTCTTAGAAATTTAACTGAGAGCATGTAGGCCAGACTTGGGGCTCTCTGTTGGGAAAGGGGTGAGTGTCTCAGCCAGCTCAGAATGCTGTGATAAAACACAGACTGGTGGCTTAAACAGCAGACATTTATTTCTTACAGTTCTGGAGCCTGGAAGTTCAAGGTACCAGCTGATTCTCTTTGGTAAGCTCTTTCCACGGCTTGTGGATGGCTTCCTTCTCGATTTGTCCTCACTTGATGGAGGGAGAGAGAGGTTTGGTCTCTGTTTCTTCCCTTATGAGGATGCTAATCCCATCATAGGGCCCTACCCTCATGACCTCCCAGAGGGTCCACCTCCAAATACCATCATATTGAGAGTTAGGGCATCAGTATAGGATTTTGGGGGGACAGAAGCATTCAGCCCATAGCACAGAAAGCAAAATGCGGCAGAAAGCTGGTGAGAAAACAGTATTTTGTGAGAAGGGTTTTTTTGTTTGTTTGTTTTTTCGGTGGTGATGTTCAGTAATTTTGTTGAGTGCCCGTGATCTCTGTTTCTAGGCCCCTCCAGGCCTGCCTCCTCTGCTCCTGTGCAGTGCTTGTTCTTTAGGTAAGAGAGTGGGCCCAGTCTGGAGGAGGAAATGCTGCCACAGCCTCCGTGTGTGACTAGGGTGCCTCAATTAAGGTGCCCTGTTACTGCAGGTGGTCTCAGGTTCTCAAATTTTCATTTCACAACTGTAATCCGTTGCAAAGTGAAAATGGATCAGTTTAATTGCTTTTCATTGATTTAGTTTAATTTGCCATTGTATGGGCAAAAGTTATATTTATTTTCTGTAAAGTACTTCTTTGTTAGTGATACAGCTAGGAAATGCGCTACCCAGGGAGACCCAGGAGCTCGTCTTTGAGGGCATGGCTGGCTGAATGAATTCCCATGGCCCTTTCCTCCCGATATTCTTTGATTCCCTTGCCTATCTGCTCTGCGCACCTCCAGCTAGTGTCCCGGCATGGCAGCAAGTCTGGGTGATTGCCCAGGGATGGCATTTACTCCATCAACGACACTTAAGCATTTCACCCTTTATTGTTGCTCTATAAATAGACTTCACTTTGGGCTTTGTCCCAAGTGGACTTTGGATGCCAGCCTAGGCTCTTTCTTACTGGGGCCCTGGTCCTTGTGTCCCGACCCACTCATGCATTTCTGGCCCCAATTTCACATGGGCCCTATTTCCGACCAGGGAACCACGTCAGTCTCGGGAAAGCTTCAGGCCATTCAGCTGCTTGAGCCAGCCGGTGGAGGTAGAAGGGATTTCTCTGCCGGACGTGGGTTTGAGCTGGCACCCTGGAACATTCCTTCTTCCTCTTTGTACAAATGCAGCTGCCCTGGGGCTGGGAGGCCATGGATAGCTCTGGGTTACCTGCTGTACTTGGTCTTGGAGCCATCACTGCAGATGTGGGTTTGAGCTGGCACCCTGGAACGTTCCTTCTTCCTCTTTGTACAAATGCAGCTGCCGTGGGGCTGGGAGGCCATGGATAGCTCTGGGTTAACCTGCTGTACTTGGTCTTGGAGCCATCACTGCAGATTTTCACCTTGGGTTCCAGAGTGTCCTCACACAGATAAAAACCTTTTTCTCAACAACACTCCTAGTTGGGTGTTTCCTGGTGTCCTTGAGGCGTCACGCTTGGTGGAGGCGTCTGGGAAGTTTTGGGTTAGGCATGTTGTAATCTGAGAGCTGTAAGCCATGGTTCCCTCTTTTCCCAGGATGCTAGACGGATTTCTTAAAAATACAACTTTGTCATTTCTGAACTTGACATCTTGATTTAAACAGAGCTGCCTGCTGTGCCAGGAAAATCGTCTCAAGTAAATGTCTGGCAACCATGTCACCTCTGGCATACAATTTCCTTATAATATAGGTAAGCTTGGTGCTCAAAGCCAGTGGCATGGATCAGAGAGGTGATTTTTGTCTTCCAGAGAAAAGGGGAGATGGAGTGACTTGTGCCTCCACCTCCATGCTCTGGGGTGCCCCTGATGATGCAGAGTGCCTTCTATAAGATGACAACTACAGTTTGGCCCTTGAACAATGTGGGGGGTAGGGGCACCAAGCCCTGTGTAGTCAAAAATCTGCATATAGCTTTGACTTCCCCCAAACTTAACTACTAATGACCTTCTGTTGATTGGAAGCCTGGCCGATAATAGTTAACACATATTTTGTATGTTATATATATTATACGCTGTATTCTTATAATAAAGTAAGCTATAGAAAAAATGTTATTAAGAAAATCATAAGGGAAAATGCATTTATGGTACTGTACATATTTATTGAAAAAATCTGTGTATAAGTGGACCCTGGACAGTTCAAATCTGTATCGTTCAAGGGTTATCTGTAATTACTTCGAGGAAAACAAGGCCTTGGCACCCAGGTCCCCGCATCAGAGAAGAGGTGTGTGGGCCGGACCTTCAGGCATCCGGAGTGTTTTGGAGGGAAAAATCGGCTCCAGCTGTGGCTGGGGGAGTCCAGAATTGTACTTTCCTCTGTGTAATTTGGGCCAGGGGACCTTTTGCCTCCACGGCCCTCCTACCTGCCCTTGTTTTACTCCATCCACCCTGTTCTCTGAGTACTTTCTCTCTGTGGCCTGAAGTGGTCATTGATCCTTCCCACTTCTCAAAGCGAGACTCTTTGGACCTGCACTGTCAGAATTGGGCAGAGCTGCTGGGCTTGCAGCATAGACCCTGAGCACATGTGTGCCGCTGGACCCAATCTCCCTTTGTGCCCGATCTGGAAGCTGTTGAGCTGACAGTGCACCTTTGCAGGACCTTAAGATCAAGCGACTGCTTAGTCTGCAAGTGTCTGTGTTGCTCCCTGTCTTCCCCTCCCTTGGATTGGCCTTGATCTCACTGCCCCTCCCTCAGGAGGAGGATCTGTAAGGCACCTGCTTTGAGGATGTAAGGACCGAGTCCTAGAGCAACAAAAGATATGTCTAAGGCCAGAGTCCACCAGTGGCTGGAAAGGGACGCACATCCAGGTCTCACCCAAGTCCAGGCCCTTCCAGGTCTGGGCAGCCGGAGAACCTGTCTGGGGGCTTCAAAAGCCTTGTTCTGTTTGCTGCTATGTTTGCTCTCTCTCCTTAAGGTCGCTTTGGCTGTTCAGGCCTCTCACCAGCAGATACCCACTACCCAAGACAAGAGGAGCTGCCCTCATTTATTCCCCCCATCCAGTTTTTTTCCACTGGAAAAAGTCATGGAGGCCTAGAAGCAGTCTCTTGGGGGCTAGTCTGATAGGCCTAGGGCTGCTGGCTTCTTGGCGAGGTCAATAGGTCAATAGGGCGGGTCCTATCTGCTCTACATCCAGGGGCTGGCTAGCCTGGGGAGGGCCACTGTCACCTCCAGGATGCAGGGAACGTGTGTCTCTGGGGGCACTTCCCACTATCCTCCTTGGCCTCGTTCTCTGATGGCCTCACTCTTTCATGCCCTTGTGTGGTGTCCCCCCACAGCTGGATAGCGCTGCTGGTGGGAGGGAGGTGCGGGGAAACCCTCCCCACCCCCAACAGAATCGTACTCCAGATGCAAGAACTGCTTTTCCAGGAACTCTGCACATTACGTGGAGTTTTTCTAACTATAGAATTAAGAATTTCAGCTCCAGGCAAGAGCATGAATTCCCCTATCCCCGACAGAGAAGCTGGACCCTGATCCCTATATAATCAAATGGCCTTTGTGGAAATGACTGCAGTTTTACAGTCAGTTTATACCATTGCATGACCCACGGCTTCTAAGTCTGCCACCATCCCAGCTGCCTTTTGTTCTTGAACTTGGAAAGGAGACAGGACTTCTGTGAGGCAGCCCTGCATTCCATCAGGACCCCTCCCGCCCCCTCCCGCCAAGAGTCAGTCTGCAGGTGGGCATGGTTTCCAGGGCTTGTATGCCCTGCTAGGTGCCTAGTCCTTCGCGGCTCGGGACCTAACTCTGAAGTGTGAACCACACAAGGGCATCAAACCTAAACCAAGTCATGCAAAAATCTTCAGGACTGTTGACAAACTTTGCATAGTCTTGAGCATGGGGATTAGAGTCTAGAATAAACAGCTGCCTCCACAAGCTTTGTGGTGAGGCGCTGTGCTGGGAATCTTTCAAGCCCTGGCCTCAGCCTCTTAGTCTGTCTTGTTGCTACAGCTGTTGCTATGGAAACCAGCTGTGTATAGGTGGAGCTACAGTACTTAGCATCGGCTTCACCTGGTTCTCTGCTACCTCTACCTGAGATGCTCTAGGAGCTGGCTTAGCCATGGCATACCTGGAAATGTGAAGGAACTGACAGTCTTAGGCAATCCCCGATCACTGGGGGCAAGAGCTGGAGACTGAAAACGTCCCTTTCCCATGCCTGGGCAGGACAATCCAAGGTTGCCTCTGTGGCTTTCCTCAGTGGGTCCCAGCAGGGTAGAGCCCTCAATTGCCCAGAGCAGTAGCACCCTTAGTAAGGTGCCCTCCTGCGTGGGTTCACTCTGCCCAGGCCTCGTTCTGTTCCCTGGAATCATGTCCCCAAATAATGCTCCTGTGCAGAGTCCTTGTTTCGGTCACCTTCTAAGGAATGCAAGCCGACATTGCTGATGTATTTCAAATAACGTCAGGTGGAATACATATTCCATTATGTCGAAATTGTTCTTAGAGCTTAATATGAGATTGAATTTTAAAGGTTAAAAGTAAATTCTGTGAGTTGGGTTCTCAAGAGTCGGCCAGGTTTTAGAGAAATCGAACCAGAAATGTGTCTTGGAGATTATTTCTTGGGGATACTGAGATTTGACTTGGAATGTTATGTCAGAAGGAACTGAATGACTTTAGAAGTATGTTTGTGAAGTACTCATCCCCTTTATTCCTATGAGTGACAGTTAGGGTTCTTTCTGTAAACATGAATGCATTGTAAATACAAACACTGTTCCCTGAGAAAGGAATGACAGTACCACAGACTTGGGTTCAAGTCTTCTGAAACTCAAGAAAATGCAGTGCTGAGTTGCATGCAGTGCTCGCTTGTGGGCCAGAGGCGGTGCCTCGGGACACAGCCAGCGTTGTGCTCTACGGACTTGAGAAAATTAAGGCTGTCAACAACTGGGTGTATAAAAGTGTTCAAAACCCTCTTTTATTCTACGGTAGTTACAGAGGCTAGAGTAGTCACAGGAGTACAACCACGAAGAATGGAGGGTAACTTCCCAAGATCGCCTGGGGTAGTGGATAGGTCATTTCCACCTCAGCGGAGTTTGTGGTCAAATTAGGTCTTTGCTTCTATGTAAGTTTTGCCAAACACAATGTGGTGGAAAGAATGACAAGCTGGTGTGTGACTATCTGTGTTTTTTTGGTGTTCTTGCGGGGATTAGGATAATTCACATCAACAGTATTTGGGAGAAGGTCATGTTGGCCTTGAGAGCAGGGCTGGGCCTGTCTCCAGGAGACCCATGTGGAAACAGTGGGAGTGAGTTCAAGAGCCCTTGGACTGTATGGCTTCGTTTGTCTATACCACTCCATTAAGTGAGTTAAGTAAGTGAGTTGTCTGCAGCATTTGGAAGTGCAGTGACTACATAGGTACACATTAAGAAGTTAGCTACATCTAGTGAGTAATAGTCTAGTATGGCCTCATGGGGAGTGCTGGGGCTGTTAATAGTTTCCATTTTGGAGAGACAGGGTGTCACAGAGGCGGGCTTCATTCTGCAGAGTGGAGACAGTGGCCAGCATCTATGGATGACAAGGGGCTATTTGGTATAAATATAGGTGCTGAATTCCTTTTGTGGCCTTTTTGTTTGTTTTTTAAAAAAAACAATGGAATTGATCTTAGTGTCAGCAGCTGAGGTAATAAGTTAAGAATAAGCACCAAAGTGGCCCCCCCCGCAGCTGAAGGTCGACCTGCAGAGAAGTGCATCTGGGTGGGGCGGCTCCTGTGAACAGCAGCGCATCACAGGTTCTTCATGCACACCTGGCAGCGGCTGATGTGCGTCCGGATGAGCCCCGCCTTGAGCGTGTCAGCAGAGGGCGAGCCTTGGAAGCTTTGCTCAGGGATGGTGGTGAGCCAAAAGCTGTACTTGTTGGCGAAGTAGTGGCAGGTTCCACGCCCCCCGTTGCACTCAATGAAAGGCGTGGCCCGGAAGTCCTCCAGACAGCTGCCTGGTGACACCAGCGACTGGCCGCCACCTTCATCACCTGCGGCCGTGTGCTGCACAGAAGGGAGACAGGGCAGAGCTGTGAGCACACTCGCTGGAGACATTCCGGGGTAGACTGTAACTGATGCGCCTTTTCCCCTAACTGAACAACAAATGGTGAACGTCTATGTCAACACAGACCACCTGCAACATACTCTTTAATTCTGGGAGCTGGATAAATAAATCAGGGTAGACATGCACTGCGCACCAGGCATGCTGCAGGGGAGGGTTCATTGACAAAAATGGACAGTCCTGATTTGTTATTAAGTGACAACTAGAACAGCAACGAGAGCAGGTTATAATCAGTAGATACAGTTGACTACTTTTGGGGAAAAAATATCATATACCCAATCGTTCAATCAAAGAACGAAGTGTTTGCTAGACAGAAGAGATACCAAATGTTAACTTTTGTTTTAAGGGAAAAGAAAGATGTGGGTCAGCATCTGAGATTAAGTTAAAAATAAGCACCATAAAAAGTGATCCCCTCCCCACCCATCCTCTCCTAAAGTTTATGAAGAGGAAAGGAGTATGAGTGGTTTTCATTTGTTTTTCTTTTAAGAAAATCTCTACTTTTGAGTTTTCTGTAATGAACACGTACTACTCAGGTAATTTATTTTTTTCACTCAGAGCGTTGTTAATTAAGCAGTTAACCACTTGAGATGCTCCAGCAGCTGCTGGCTGGGAGAGCAGGACAAGTGTCAGAGGGAACTTCTCTTTGCCACTTTCAAGTTCGACTTTCTTCTCATTTCACAAACATCTTTAGTTTTCACAAAGGTGCATGGTAGGCTCCTGAATCTCAAAGCTAATATATAAAAGAGTGTCATTTGGCTTGGGTGAGCAAGCTTTGAGTGGTGAATGGGTTGCCAGAACCTGTTCATTTCGAACAGGATTTACCTAGCTTCAGTTTGTGGGGAAAAAAGCTGTTGTTCTGTGATATATTTGGGCAGGGACCAGCAAAAGACAAAAACCTTTGAAAAGTTTTCTGCTCACAAAATGCAGAAGCCTTTCCAACCCAGAGCTACCATGTTCTTGTTTGTTGTAAACAGGCAGGGAGAAGCAGGCATATCTTTATGAGGCATCTCAGGTACCACTTTGGTCTGAAAGAGCTGAGGCCATGCTGAGAGCTGCCCAGGCAGGCCCTGGGAAAAACTCCCCAAAGGAGCTGCCTGGGGCCACAGGGACAGAGTCAGGAGAAAGCGCTGGGCTGGATACCTCAGGGCTGGGACCAGCTGGGCTGGGTAAGAGCTCTGAGTTTGTGTGGATCAATTTATATATTGTGTGATTAATATAATTTATGAGATATTTAACATGTTAGGCATCCAGTCACTATAGCTAGATTTCTCTATTTTATACCCAAAGGTGACCTGACACTGATATTCCTGGATTTTCCTTATCAGCTTATATGTTTTAAACCAACCAGTTAATTAATGTTTCTTGAGGGCATTCTAGATTCTAGGTAGATTCTACATAAGATACTTATGATTCTAGATAAAATTCTCCCTATGTTTAGCCTTGGGATAAACCAGAAGAGCTTCACCTTTGGTGTTCTGCTTAGTAAAATGCACCATAAGCCAAATCTATCCAATTACAGCCCGCACAAAGGCTTGATGGCAATTAATTGGTCCCCGCCGGTGGGTGCAGCTTGAGGCCTAGGCACGGGGCTTAGCTGGCAGAGTGCAGGCAAAAGTGCAGGCTGTATTTCAGCTCTCACTCATCCCCTGGGCCCGGTACCCTTGTGCAGTGCACAACCTGAACAACTGCCCTGTCTAACTATTTTTACAAATGCAGCTGTTCTTGCTGCTTCCTTAGCCAGGGTATGGTTGGGGAGAGGAACTAGATTTCCACCTGGTTCCATGTTCCGAGAGAGTGCTAGAAAGTACCACATACCATGAGGAAGGAATATCCAATCCACAAACTCCGCCATCCAACTGGGCAGTGAGGGATAGAGACGTCTTGACTGTGGACTGCTATGGCGACAGCTGGGGCCTCGCACACAGAGCAGCGGCTGATGTAGGGCTTGATTTCATCCTCAGCCACAGGCATCATGGGCAGTGGGGCGGTGGTGGAGAGCCAGTAGGACTTGTCATTCCGGCTGGCGTAGTAGCAGACGTCACCAGGGTTGCAGTATAGGAAGGGCATGGT